GCAGCAAAAACATCCTTTACCTAATTGAGGTCAGGATATAGTTACGTGATAAACAGTGATTTCTCACTTATAAATTTATCTATCTCGAATATGTGTTTCAACTGCAGCTCTACTCCACCTGACATCGACCATCTGATCATTTCATCGACCAACCGATCATTTCAAGTCCAAATGCACACAAAAATTTGAGTACTATTGCTTAAAGACCTCGCATCAATGAGGTGGTAAAATGTGTTCTCTTGTACCCAGATTAGATTTAATATTTCATCTTATCCCATACCAACAATATCCAATTCTTACTACTGTTTCACACCACATCACTCTTCTCATCCCACTCCCCTTTGCAGTGTTGCGTTATTCTTATATGTACTTGCTTTTTTTCTAGGTCTGTTATTGGCTACAGCAAAAACAGCATATAGATTTAAAAAAATGTCAATAATTCCACTTCATTTGTCTCTAATTGAGATACATCCAATTACCAATAATTAATAATAAAAAACAAAACAATTACATTTATTCGCATGTCGCATTAGAGTTAACGATTGAGTTTTTATCGAGGAAAAAGAAACTGATTCTACTTATGTTAATTTATTTACATAAGTAGTAATTAATTTATTAAATTTTAAATGTGTTTTATTAAATGTTTAATCTATGGAGAGACATATTTTCTTAAATGCTGCTGACAGTTTTTGCTCAACTACGATTTAAGAGTTGCGATTAAAAATTAATTATAATTTTTATAATTGTTTTATGTAAAATATTTTGTTTTTCGTTGTTTTTATCGTAATCCGGCTAAAAGTTTCACTTGAACTCCCAAAATATGTTTGTATGATGTTTCTGGGGATTGGAAATAGAATGAATGATTTAGTGATAATCTGTTCTGCTCACAAAGTATCCGGATTTTGTTGTTTGTTAACTACTCCTTAAATAATAGACATTTTTTGTTTATTTTGATATGTTGGTATACCCTTTCTTGACATATGGTACAGATTTGAGCACCATCTGTCAATTAGATTGTTTACAGCCGGTGTTAATGTGAGACTACCTCAAGTGCATTTAGCGATTTTTACTATGGAAAATTCTTGTTGTACGCGATTTTTTGACCAAACACGGCACCACTGTCATCGCTCAGCCACCATATTCGCCAGATCTGGCGCCGTGCGACTTTTTCGTGTTTCTGAAACTCAAATTGCCCCTTCGTGGTAAGCGTTTTGAGTCAATTGAATCGGTAAAAGGGAATTCGCTGAAGGAATTAAAATCCATACCTGCACGGGTCTACGAAAAGTGTATGGAAGATTGGGTTAAGCGTTGGCATATGTATATCGCTTCAGAAGGAGCATATTTTGAAGGAGATAAAATAAATTTGGAATAAAATTTAAATAAATAAAACAAATTTAAATTTGTGTGTTTTATTTACAAAATCCGAGTACTTTTTGAGTAGAATGTAAGTGTGAATCATACAATCGTATAACATGTACTACGATTCCCTTTCATTCTTAGTAATTTAAAGCTATTGGATTGCATTTTTTTTTTAATTTCTACAACGTCAACGTAGTCTTATACAATAAATTCTATAGAAAACTCTCAATCCAATGAAAAAAGCTTGTATTGCTTATGTAGTGATATTTGATCCATCTCAGTATATACATTAAAGAAATGATTTTCTCAAGAAATGCAAATAATAATAAGGAATTAATGTAAAAAAACAAATCAGGCATTTAGTTTAATATTTCTTGTTATTTTATACTTTTTCAGAATTCTAGAGCTGTACTGGACTAGAGCTTCTAAAGCTGTACATAAGATTTCTCGTTTGATCTATTGTGTGTCATTAGTTCTAGTTTGCTAAACGATTTCCTATTTTCAATCAGACTAAATTAATCCCATCGAATTAAGATAATTTAATAAGTCTTTCGTTTATACCGATGATATAGCTTGATAAGCTGTCAAATAAACACCTCTCTAAAAATCTGTTTCTTCTGAACGCCAAATCCAGGCATTCATAGAGAAAGTATTTAATGGTTTCTTTTTCTTGTAGGTTTCCACAATATCTGCAGTGACCAAAAAGTACTGCAGTAAGCTTTGCAGTGTTCATATGGTCCCTTCTACTGAGTTCCCAAGATCTAGTTTTATTGTAGGTGGGCCATGTTAATCGAGAAGTTGCATGTGACTTAAGTGTCTTCCATTTGTTATTGCCAAGCTGTAGAAAGTAGAAATAAGTACTTTTCTTAGTGGTCGCATCCAGATACGTATCTAGTGAAGCACCAAGACGCACTAAACCGTTAACTTTCTCGTTTCCTTCAATGTTTCTATGTCCAGGGACCCAGATAAGCGTGATGTTAGCTAACGGGTTTAGCTCATCGATTCCCTCTCTACATTCTTTCATTCTCTTTGATTTTGTGATGAAGGATTCAAGGGCTTTGATTGACGTCTGGATGTCAATGAAAATTACAAAACTACATTTGTTCTTGATGTAACTTGCAATTTGCCGTCATGCTTCCCTAATTGCTAAAATTTCCGCCTGAAAAACCGTGGCCTTATTAAATAGGCTAAGAGAATTGCTTATGGAGATAGCGCAAAGAATCCTACTCCTACCCCGCAGTTCATATTCGAGCCATCCGTATAGATTGAGATTTTGTTATTTGCTTCTTTTCTATTCGTTTTTTGAAGCCATCTTATCCTCTTAAAAATGAATATGGTCACATTTTACCATGTTTAAGGAAGAGCAGAGGTTTTTATCTATATTTTTTTGGACTAATTGCTATACAAATAAATAACCTGGAATGGTGGGGTTAGGTTAGGTTACAGTGGCGGTCTTCTGAAGTAGCGGTAAGACCTATACTGCATGCTTTCTGAAGTATTAGAAATTCAACTGTTCAAGCTCACATAGGTATATTAAAACTCTCGTCTCATTTGAAAATATTTTTGTCTTAATTTATTACTTGAATACCGCTTAATATTTTTTTTTTGCTAATACGGGTAATTGGATCACTTGGATCACTTAACTAAAAAGGTTTCATTATTAGTTAAAGGCATAAGTTTTACTTAAATTCATGATGGAAGCTTATGGCTCTATAAAAACCGCAGATTTATTTAGATTTCAATAAATCGTTTGATTATGACACTTTCAATCATGATTAGTAACATTACTGATAATAGGAAGAGGACTGAGAGGATTGGTTTGCAATTGCGGTTAAAGTGTGGCTAATACTCTTGAATGATTTCGCGATTTGTATTAATATTGCTACTAAACATTATTTTATATTTTTATACGAGTATTAAAGCAAAATTCAATCACAAGCATGAAAACTTGGTAAGGTAACTGATTTTGCGCAAGTAAAATTACTTGCTGGATACGGTTAATACGGCTGAGCTCAAGCAAATCACGTCTTTTGCAGTTCAGGTAATAAAAGGTCAATGAACTTTATATCGTGACGGTAAAACTCATTGGCATTGTGACGGGTGAGTCGTTTTGTCTGAGTTTGTAAAAAATATGAATATCCGTATAATATGCGGTAGTTGGTATGATGTTCAATGGAATTTGGTTTTAAAGTGATATGTTTCTCCATTAAATATAGTTTCAAAAATAATTTAAATATTTCATAAAATTTTATAAAATCTTATAAAGAAAAATAAATTTAGTAAAAAGAAATTAAAAGAAAATATGCAAAGCATATGGTATCAAAAATCATCTATATCTAACATTTAGTTCCAGTACTAAGAGGGAGTAAACAATTGATAACATTGATCTAAGGTTGACATTAGAAAGAATATTAATATGATGTAAATGGTTCCTAGAAAATCCTAATAATATTTTGCAGCTTTAACCTTCTTGAAAGTAGTGTGATTTTTCTCTTGTCTTGTCAATAATCGGAGTACTTTCACTCGATTTCGTGTGCTAGCTTGGTGTGTGAGGCCACTAATAACCTAGCGGTAAGCGTTTAGTTTATTATTGTGCGTATGTGTGTTTAACTGTCCGTAGTGGTGGAGGTTGTCTTCAGCAAAGTTGTGTAGAGGGTAGTGTCCGGAAATAAGTAGGCGATGTATATATATAGTCAAGTTCTAAGATAATACTAGGATATCTATGTAAATCCATAGACTTATTGGAATATGGGGCTATCACGATTCTACTGAGCGTTTAAATATATATAGTATATTGTTTATATAGTAAAGATCTCTATGTAAATCTATAGACTTATTGAAATATTGGGCAATCACGATCCTATTAACCGCTTGATTTTGACATGATTGAAGGCGTTTGAGCGTAGACTTAGGGGCTTTGGAATAAGCAATTGCATTGCTTATGCAATTAAAGAAGACCGATGTTGGTTGCGATTACGAAAAAGCAGGGAGAGGTGCTGAACTGTTATTTGTAGAGTTTAAGCTGGTAGAACTTTTTGTCGAACACAGGTACGCCCTTTCCAAGAATTCTCTTATATTTTTTTAAGGTTATAAGGTTTCTTTTCAATGATGCTTATCATTCAACAATTGTTGTGCGCCCTTTAAATGAATTGTTTAAAGAATTTTATTATTTTTTTCTTATGAGCATTGAATTCAATTGAATTAGTTTAGTTGCAATCTTATCGAAATGTACTCAAATTAATTTAAAGTAGAACCGTTTAGTAAAGATCAAAGTAACAAACTTTTATATTATTTCTTCGATTTTGTTAGATTTAAATCAGTAGACGATAGCTTGCTTATTTTTTAAATAAGCATAATAAAATGCGATTAGTGTTTGCTTCATGTGGTTTCTAGTACCTGAAATATTTATGGCGAGATAACTACTTCTAATTGCTTGACGTTTATTTTCTAAATATAAAAAATGTCATAATAGTAACCCTTTGCCTCTGTGTAGATTTTTGCATGGTACATAGAGTATATGAAATGTAATTGCTTTTAAAGAAACTCATAAATTACCTATTAGATCTGCTTACTTGCAGTACTTTCTTTATCATATTTACTTATCTGATATCACTTATCTGTTTAAACATATTTATTTTTAGTGCACTGTGGGCATACGGAAAACTGCTTTTACTAATCAAAAAATGCGAAAGGAAAAATTTAACAATAGCGGACATATTTGAGTTAAATGTAGCAAAAAATCCTCACAAAACGATTATCGTGAGTGACACCCAAAATTGGACATTTAAGCAATTACATGAGTACTCCAATCAAATCGCTAATGCATTCCGTACCCAAGGTTATAAAAAAGGAGATGTCGTCGGTCTACTGCTTGAAAATCGTGCTGAATTTGTCGGAATTTGGATTGGCTTATCAAAGCTTGGTGTAATAACACCACTTATCAATACAAACTTACGTGGTCCTTCGCTACTGCATAGTATAACTGTGGCTAATTGTGGTGGTTTAATTTATGGAGACGATTTCGTGGATGCAATTAATGCTATTAAAAAAGAAATACCCGCTAATGTTGTACTCTACCAGTTAAACGATGATCCGAATAAAGCTGTATCTGCTGAAGCAAAAAGCTTGACAGTATTACTGAAGGATGCTCCCAAGCAAGCTTTTAGGGCTATTGATCGTCCAAATCATCATGACAAATTAGTTTATATATACACATCTGGTACAACGGGCTTACCGAAGGCAGCTGTAATAACTCATTCCAGGTAAAAATTCATTTCAATATTCATTCCAAAATTATAAATGATTAAATTTTTTTTTTGAATTGCATATTTAGCGCTATTAACAGTTATAGTTAAACACAGAAGTCTGTATAGACTGTCATAGCTAGTTCTGATAATGAGTTTGGGATTCGCACCAAATTTTTATGCTAAACGTTAAAGCGACATTTTTTTCCCTTTATTTAGAATGATTTTTGCCCGTTGCTTCCTCCTTTTAACAACTGTTTTGGCTTTTATTTTAAAAATGAAAGTAAGTACGCTTGCTTTCCGCAAATTGATTACTAAAAACAACAGTACTTGATATCATTGATATCATAACCTTAAAATTATTAACTGCAAAAATAAAATTGTCAAATTATTTTTAATAATTTTTTTCGTTGCCTGACAAGTGAAAATGAAAATGGGGAGAAGCTAGTAATTCGCTGAATTTGAAGTTTTATTTTATTTAAAAAGACAATAAAAAAAAAGACCTTTGTAAAATAAGACCAATATAGATAAGATTATGTGGATTCTGTGGGATTATAAGCAATAATAAAAAAGTAGGTGGTTTGATTTGATTTTTTATTAAGACCGATCTAAGCAGGTAAAAACCGCATCCAGTGACCAAAAGTTTAAAGTTTCGATTTGATTTGATTTTAAACATGGTCCTACAAGCTTTTTTTACTAAGACCAATCTGAGTGTATAAAAACTGCAGCCAATGGCGGGAATGGTCAATGACCGGGTCTACTTCACTAAGCCACATGTCAAGTTTGATGAACATGTTCCGTTAGACACTTCTAAAAGGAATTACACGGTCAGATCCTTGCGGGCTACAATAACAAAATCAATGAAAATATTGAAAAAGAGCTTCGAATTGCCGAATAAAAATCGGAGAGTTTGCTGTGGTTGTAAGTGTTCCGCTTGACCGTATTTAGGAAATGGACTTGATAATTTAGTCAAAAAAAAAGCTATTCAAAGGTTGGTTTCTACATTTGTATCGTTAACTACCCTTGTAGAAATGTGAATTTGTCAATACTTTCCGAGTATTTAGACTGGTTTTTGAATCTTGTACGATCAGGATATATACACAATCTATTAACTAATAAGAATAGTTAATAATAGTTTTACTGGCCAGCATTTTCTGTACAAAAAGCTGTTGCTATGTTCTTAATTTATAAGACCTAACCTAACCTAAATATATAGTCCCTGAAGATGACTATCGAAGATAGTCGATATATCATAAAAATGTTTTAATAAAATATAAATTGTTTTTAAATATAAATAATAAATTATAATTTTTTTATTTCTATTTAAATGACCAATTAGCACGCTAATTAATTATTACTAAATATATATAGTTAAATCTATAACTTTTAAATAAATATTTGAATTGGATAGAATTATCAATATATATTTATTTGAAATTTCTTTACTCTCTCACAGATATTTATTCATCGCTGCTGGCATTCATTACACTTTAGATTTTCAACATGAAGATGTATTCTACACTCCATTGCCATTGTATCATACAGCTGGTGGTATATTGAGTATGGGTCAAGGTTTATTGTTTGGTTCCACCGTTGCGATACGTAAGAAGTTTTCTGCTTCCGGTTATTTCGCGGATTGTGCGAAATTTAAGTGCACTGTGAGTAACTACCTATCCCTTTCTCGCCTTTATTTTGGTATATACATTCCATTAATATACATATTTCTTGTTAAAATTTAGGTCAGCCAATATATTGGTGAAATGGCTCGTTATATACTTGCAACACCAGCGTCTGAAAACGATCGTAAGCACAAAGTGCATTGTGTCTTCGGTAATGGCTTGCGTCCACAAATTTGGCCACAATTCATTAAGCGCTTCAACATAGCAAAAGTAGGTGAATTTTATGGTGCTACGGAAGGAAATGCAAATATCATGAATAATGACAGCACAGTTGGTGCTATTGGATTTGTGTCTCGTATATTACCTTGGATTTATCCCATTTCAATTATACGTGCTGACCCCGATACCGGGGAACCAATACGTGGTAAAGACGGTTTATGTCAACTTTGTGAGCCAAACGAACCTGGTGTATTCATTGGTAAAATTAAGAAAGGAAATCCTTCTCGCGCGTTTTTAGGCTATGTAGATGCTAAAGCTTCCGAAAAGAAAGTTGTGCGTGATGTATTTAAAAAAGGTGATATGGCGTTCTTGTCTGGAGATTTACTTGTTTCCGATGAAAGAGGATATTTGTTCTTTAAGGATCGCACAGGAGATACATTCCGTTGGAAGGGTGAAAATGTATCAACCAGTGAAGTTGAGGCACAAGTAAGTAATGTGGCTGGCTACAAAGACACAATTGTTTATGGAGTTACAATTCCGAATACTGAGGGCCGCGCTGGAATGGCTGCAATTTATGACCCAGAGAAGCAGGTCAAATTAGATGAATTTGCTGACAATCTTTCCAAAGTATTGCCTTCATATGCTAAACCTCAATTTTTGCGTTTTCTTACTAAAATCGATTTGACGGGAACTTTTAAGCTGCGAAAGGTTGACTTACAAAAGGAGGCTTTTGATCCAAACGTTATAAATGATGCACTTTTTTATTTGACTCCTAAAGGAAAGTATGAAGCACTTACTAAAGAGATCTACGATAAGATTAGTCGAAATGAAGTTAGATTTTAAAAAAATTTTGCAAATTATGTAAAATGTGTTGCCAATTTAATTTTAATTCTTACCTGGTTAATGATGTTTTGTTTTGTTATCTAGTAAATATGTTAAATATTAATGTAAAAAGAATTAAAAACGAATTCCTCAGTCACTTAAGACTGGACTTATTGTTGTTAAATGTATTTATAGGTAATTTGAATGTTTTGAGGGCCAAAGCGGGTGCACTAAAGATTACTTGTAAATTTTGTATATTTTGAAGGAGCACATTAAAATATGATATATATTTATATATAAATAGATATTTACATATATGTATTAATTATTTTTGTAATGATTTTATTTTGATACAGAATCTTAAATTGTTGCAGTACTGATTATTATTAATGCTGTGAGCTATATTATGTATAGACTTCAAATAGTAAATAAAAATCCATGTAACATTAATTTTAAAATGTTATTAGTTTATAAATATTTGCACGGATTATGCTTTTAAATATAAAAAAAAATACTTCTAAGATTTATTAGTTGATCTATTAATTTCGATATTACTAAATTACTTGTCAAATTGTAACATTCAACATTTGTGGGTTATGAGGAGTTTTATTTAGAAATACGATTATAAGGAAATATTAAATACGTTGTAATGGTTGTTATCATTGTGATTACTCTCGACAGTTTACAGTACATGATAAATATGGTTTTTCACATAACTGTACCCATATATAAAAAAATTAAATAATTTCAATGTTCCCCATACTTAACATTATCAAGAGACGTTCGGAAAAGTAAGTAGATCAGTTGAATATTTATTCTTTGAACTGTGAAAGACGAAAAGTATGTTTCAGCTCTTTGATAATTTGGCACTATTATAATATATTATATAATATATATAGTGACGTTCTTAAACGGTCAACAATGTCAATTTATGTAAAATTACAAATTGTCCTCTTATAATTTAAATTGAGTTGCTGTGGGGTGTACGCGTTTTGCATTGAGAAAGAGAGTTTTTGATTAAGTTATATAATATTGAATTATTTCTCAAATAAAAATCTTAGCAGCTATATAAGGCTTACTTGACAACTCTTTCCTCAACAGTATTGGACAAGAAATTCGTTTTATTAGGACTTGATGTATTATTTATAGTTGCATTCTTAATGTATTCTATATGCAGTTGAAATTGTAGCGAAGCTAGTCTCATCATTCCCGTGAAAATCGGTCTGGCTTGGCTTTTATAGCTGTTTATTTATGATGAGTGTTTTTAAAGTCTGAGTTAAACTGAATAGGATTATAGCAAGTTAGAGTTTTCACTATTTTATTTAAATTCCTTATCTTTACTGATGATGGATATATATAGTTTTCAAATAGAGTCATATTGATTTAAAAATGATATCACAAAATAATTAACAAATAAATAGAGAATATTAGATCTTTAATTTTTACTTTGAGTGGGGAGGGGATTTTGTACTTATAATATATGTATTTATTGTATAAGAAAGCTTTGATTTGCGCGCCGAAATGTATGCAACGATTTTCAATTTGAAATTCTTGAAAAATCATATGAAATTTTTTGCTAAAAATTATGTTTTTTGTTTTAAAATTTTTAATTGGAAACGAAATCTATCGTTATATCGTATATAAATAACGTAGTTTATATTATAAACTAAAAAGACGGCTTTACCTTCACCCATGCCTCCACACCATTTACACATGTAGTCTTTGTTTTCGGTTATATACACGGGTTTGCTGAAAAGTTTTTGATCTGATATATTGGTGCTGAAAAAAATTTTATTTTGGCGATTAAAAATAGCGTAAAACATGCGTCAAAATTTGAATAAAATCCGACTATGAACTGACAATTTTGATGTACTCTTGAATTTGTTTATTAAGGGTTTTACAGGTTGATGATGACTATGTCCCAGACGGATCAATATTCAATCATTAATCAAACCATATGAAAGTCTAAAGCGAAAGTGGAGACCGTATTTATCTATAGTTAATCAAAAATTACAGAGATTGTCGAAATAGATATATGTTTTTAAGGACTGAAAAAATATTTTTAGATCAAGGCTATTAGAAATCTGGAATGATTTAGTGTTTATTGTGAAAATAATATGTCTTCATATGTTCGACCGAATATTTTTAGATCATCAGTGATTTAAAACCTAATGTACAGATATATTGAAAAAGCGTAATACCATTTGGGGAAATTATTTTCAATAGATGCTTATGAATCCGTTTTAATACTCACTTTGATGAGAATGAACTCTTATTTACTATTTAGACAGATATATAGACAGCCAAGTAGACATCTCAAAATAGATTGGCTTGGCAGGTTGCTTACAGTTTTTTACAGTTTAGACTAGTGTTATTCAATATAGGGTTATCGTCCCATAGGAGAACAATTAAAAATTGTAAAAATTATTTTGATGTTTATTTTACTGAAATTAGCGTGATACTTTTGATATTCTTTTTCAAAA